CTGCTGGGACAGACTAAGAGGAAGTGGTCCCTGACTACGCGAAGAGAGTCAGGGAGGTGAGTGACTATGTAATAGAGAGCGATGTACATGGGGGGGGGGGGGGTTCTTGGCGCAGAACTCAGCAAGAAGCGCAGCGCGGTAGCGGGTGTCACTAGTGCGGAGGTGCGTAATGAGGTCAGCGACTGTGGGAAAGGCAGCAAGGTCAGGAAAGAGGTACGGTAGCATGAGGCGGCTCAGTGCAGCAGTGGCAGGGGAAGAGTAGCGTGCAACTACAGCGTCGTACAAGGTCTGAGCACTCTTGTACTGACTAAAGTGCGCGCGCTCAGTGGTAGGGAGGTGGCGACGCACAGCAAGACGTACAGCAGCATCGCGGGTGGCCCACTGAGAGCGAACAGTGGGGTCAGCATCAGCAGCAGGAGCAGGAGAGGCGCCAGAGGTGAGGTCAAAGAGAGAAAGACCGTCCGCCCTATCGCACTGTAAAAACAACTGCAGGTCGTCGACCCAGACCTCAAAGTCAATGGCTCGACCCTCAGCATCAAAAGCGAGGACACTGGGGGTAGCCATGACGACAGACTAGCAGTGCAAGCAGTGGGGGGGGGAAGGGCACGCAGTAGCAGTGGGGCGTGCTCAACAGACGGGGCAGGACAGGCGGCTCGGCAGAAGGGCGGCTCAGCTGCTGGGCGGCTCGGCTGCTCGGCGGCTCGGCGGCTCGGCTGCTTGGCGGCTCGGCGGCTCAGCTGCTCGGCGGCTCGGCGGCTCGGCTGCTGGGCGGCTCGGCGGCTTGGCTGCTCGGCGGCTCGGCAGCTGGGCGGCTCGGCGGCTCGGCCCTCTCGGTACTCGACGGCGCGGCCGTCGGCTGCTCGGGTGCAAGATGCAGTTGGCGAGGAGCTGAGGGCGGCGGGGCCGTTAAGTGCAGGGCGGCGGGGCCGCTAAGTGCAGGGCGGCGGAGCCGCTAAGGGTAGGGCGGCGGGGCCGCTAAGGGTAGGGTGGCAAGGCCGCGAAGTGCAGGGCGGCAGGGCCGCGGTAGAGGGGCGGCGGGGCCGGGCCGTGCAGGGCGGCGGGGCCGCGAAGGAAGGGCGGCGGGGCCGCGACTGAAGGGCGGCGAGGCCGCGAAGTTCAGGGGGCGGCAGGGCCGCGACCTGCAGGGCGGCGGGGCCGCGAAGGAAGGGCGGCGGGGCCGCTAAGTGCAGGGCGGCGGGGCCGCTAAGTGCAGGGCGGCGAGGCCGCGACGTGCAGGGCGGTGAGGCCGCGAGTGAAGGGCGGCGGGGCCGCGTAATGCAGGGCGGCGGGGCCGCGAAGGAAGGGCGGCGGGGCCGCGACGTGCAGGGCGGCGAGGCCGCGACGTGCAGGGTGGCGGGGCCGCGAGTGAAGGGCGGCGGGGCCGCGTAGTGCAGGGCGGCGGGGCCACGAGTGAAGGGCGGCGGGGCCGTGCAGTGAAGGGCGGCGGGGCCGCGACGGAAGGGCGGCGAGGGCCGTGAAGTGAAAAGAGGCAGGGCCGCGACGTGCAGGGCGGCGGGGCCGCGAAGGGAGGGCGGCGGGGCCGCGATGTGCAGGGTGGCGGGGCCGCGAAGGAAGGGCGGCGGGGCCGCTAAGTGCAGGGCGGCGGGGCCGCGATGTAAGGGCGGCGGGGCCGCGTAGGTAAGGGCGGCGCGACGGGCCGCTAGAGGCGACACGGAGGGTCGCTAAAAAAAAGTAGGGCGCGCCTCGGGGCGCGCTTCGGTGGGCCCTAGAAGCAGTCCCTGGGAGGGAACCTGCTCTGATTCCATGTGAAACGAAGGAACACAAATGAATGAACTATGAAATGAGTGAGTACAAGTACCAACCCTAATTGGGTTGTACCCCCTATGGGATACCCCACTATAGCCTACACAAAAGCATAAGCTATAATGTTCTAACAGAGTGCGCTCCTGCGCAAATGTCTTGGGAACACTTGCGCAATTCATACATGGCAACGGATCCGGTTACCATGAGTCGTCTACTCAGTCAACTGACATCAGTGAAAATGCAACAAGGGGAGAAAGCCGGGCCGTATAACAATCGGTGCCGCAATCTATGTGACCACATTAAGGACGCGGAAAAAGTGCTAATATCGCACGCCCCTCTGCACATATCGAGCCCCGCAATCGATTGGGCAGATCGATTGGTGAAACGTGGCGATCGTGATGTTATAACGATCGCTACTGAGATTTGGCAGATCTCCCATGATCAGTGATCAGTTTGATGCACACACTGTACAAAACATTTGGCCAAAAAGCATACTATATCGTGGTTACATCGTAGTAAATAGGGTAATCAATCCGCACATCGATCGCAACTGACGATCAATCGTCTATTTTTACCGCGTCCTAAGAAGTGCGGCGGACCCGTCCCTGACAACATGTTCGTCTCGATGGTTCTCTCCGGCCTTGGACCCGATTGGCGTCAGTGCGAGTTGTTGCTCCACGCTCGAGCCACTATTTTTGAGTCCGCCCTTTGCGCCACACTCCTCTCCGAGCAGAAGAAGATCGATCTGTACAATGAAAAGAACAGCAAGCGGAAAAAGTTAGTGTTCTTGACTAGAGCGATTGAAATGGAGCAGCATGGAAAGAAGGGAACCTTTTGCAAATACTGCAAGAAGCCCGGTCACACCATAGACCGGTGTTACAAACGAAAGGCCGCTGGCGAGAGGCGCAACAACAACTCATCTAGTCAGCAGCCCTCGGCGGCCCCTGCAACTCCAGTTGCGAAAGCGACCATGTCGCCACCTTCAGTCGCGAGCACCTCACAAGCCCCTGCACGCATTTTGTCCAAGGATAAGGGCAAGGGATCAGTTTTGAGCTGCATGGTGCATCATCGCAGAGGCATCCGATACTACGACAACATTGAATACGCAATAATCGTACCCATCACTCCCATCACACCAAGCCTGAACAACGATCCCACGATAAGCTTCTGGATCGACACGCCAACAACTCTCCTACTTGACTTGGAGCTTCTACCGAGCACACCGGATTCTCCTCCCAGCTTTCCTGTCAGAACCCAGTACAACCTCTCGCGCTTCTACGTCGATCTCAAACGCATCATCACTCCAAAGATTGCCGCCATCGCACGTCAGCGTCGCAAAAACGTGATTATGCGGACAACACATGGTGGGATAACCAACTTTTATCAGCAAGACGTATGCGGCAACAGTGCGGAATAAGAGTCGCAAACAATAATCGACTCAATGCATACGACATCGGAGAAATTTACCTTGAAGCTGTAGACACTCGCTTGACCATTCACATCGAAGACGTCCTGGTCGTTCCCAATCTGAGTACAACCTCCTCTCTTCAGCTCAACTCATGAGGCGCGAGGTTGACATTCGAAGCAACTGCACAGAGAAACGCTTCGAGTGTTTTACAACAATACTTACATCGGGAAGGCAATCGACAGTGACGGAGTCTTCATTCTAAACTTTACAGTGCAGGGCACGATGGACGACTCCGACCGGACTCTTCTGCTAAGGACAACACCCACGGAGGCGCCGACCTGGTCACACACTGATGAGATGGACCTCAAACGTCCGGCATCAGACGGACTTTTTCGCCTGCGTACCATCCCAACTGCCTCAACCTCCACTCCCGGAGACACCGGACCTGCAACGATGGAACACAGCGGGAAGTCAACGACTGCAGAACAAGCTGACCCTGGAGGCTCGAGAGTAACAGGAACGGTCTCACCCAGCTGAGCCAACCCCAGCGAAGCAGTCGGGCAATGGGGAGTAGTTGGACCACAAGAGGAAGAAGCTGGTTCTTGAGGCAGATGGGGAATGTCAACTTCCACAAATGGGTGGGGACATGAAGCCCTCCTTCTCTCGATGCTCCGGCACTTCCTCCTGCACATGTGGCGGAAGTAAATCCGTAATAGTCAACGCGCGGCACACACTGGGGTGGCACACGATGGCTGCCACACAGGTGGGTCATCAGCCTCCCCACCTGTTCCCCTCATCACGTGTGTGGCAGCCATCATCACGTGTGTGGCAGCCATCATCACGTTTGTGGCAGCCATCATCACGTGTGTGGCAGCCATCATCATACAGACGCTAGTGCAGTGGTGCCAAGGCAGTGGGGTCCTTCATGTCTCTCTCTCTCTCGCCTCCTTCCTCCCCCCACCCCCTGCTCACTCCCTTCTCACTCACTTCCACCTTTCTTTCCACTCCCCCACCCCACCAGGCCCCTGGTCCACATGAGTGCAGTGCAGTCAAGGCGGTGGGGTCCTTCATGGCTGACTGCCTCTCTCCAACTCTCTCCCACTTCTGTTCCTCCACCATCCCCTTCAGATCCTGATCCACATGTGTGCAACGTAGACTGTGGGTCGTTGACAACACTGCTGTGGTGTGGTGTTGCCTGCCGGCCTTACCCTGCCTCTACTAGGCACTACCGTATGCTCTGCCTCTTCTGAGCCTTCAAGCCTTCCGCAACAGCGAGGAGCTCCCGTTGCTCGATGAGATCTCGCCACTTGGCAGAGGGCAATTCGCACTAGCGTACAAATCAATTGGCTGTCCTCTGGTACCAGTAACATCAACACGTTCCCTACGTTTCCCCATGTACCCTAAATCCCCCCGACCCAGTTACTACCTGGAAAATGCTAGTGTATTCTTTATTACGGCATGTCCTTTGTAAAACCCGCAGATTCCAGCCATACATTTAATTCACGGATTTTATTATTTTATTCAACCGAAGACCCCTCCCTGTTATCAAAAGCAGCTCATAAGCGCCCGGGCTCAGCACGGTGGTAAACCTTTAACTTGTGAGGTTCAGTCCGATGCGCCCATTTCCCAACTGGACAATGTCTGTGAGGCGCGGATGAAGAGTTCTGCATAGCACTGCTTAACATGTCAGTTAAACTTAGACCAATGCAGAGCAGGTGGAGGGGACGTGTGCAAGCGAGCACTTGGAAAGGTAGTGAGGAAAAGCCGGGGAAAGAGAGTGCAAGGAGAGGAACGCCAGTCATTTCCAACACATGAAACACAGCAGAGTCTACATTTGCTTCTCAAGCAGTGCAGCTGCTGCAACACAAGGTTCATATCTGGCAGCAAGCACAACTGCAAGCACGGCGGCACACAGCAGCAAAGGGCCCAACCCAGCCATCTGCAAGGGAACTTCATGCACACTCCTATTATAGGCACCTCTGAGAATGCTCAGCAGTGCTGCACAATATGGATGACTTGCAACAAGCAGAGCAGCAAACATCCTGACAACATGCAAAGAAAACTTTGCACACCCTCATTAGTTGTAGCAGCATTCGCAAGCCTTGTCTGTGATGCATTAAGTCAATGGCATACTTACCCAACACCCCCACTGCTCGCCTTGCCACCCACCTTGCCAGTGCTGCTGCTGCCACCACCCCGGCTACTGGTCCTACCGGGGCATGTGTGCTTGTGGGAGGGCCAGTGCGCCTTTTGGCACTCTTTGCTGCAATATGGCACCTTGCCACACCCACCGCAACTCCTCAGCTTCACATTACCACCCTCCACCCTACCACACCCCACATCACCACACCTACTCTCCTTGTAAGCATCAGGAAAATTGGCCTCTTCATCTGCAATGGGTACAGCTGTTCTTGTAGTGCCTGTTGCAGCACCAGTAGTTGGGGTGACATGTGTAGAAGAAGCATCATAGGCTGATGTGGTAGCAAGGTTTCGCACAGGTGGGTGGAACGAGGCAGCAGCAACTGCACCAGAGGTGTTCACAACAGGAGGAGGGACGGAAGGGGAAGCATGAGAGGCAGGGTGGTAGCACGGCTCCCCCAGCAGCAACTCTCGCAGACATGCCACCAGCTTGACCCCCCCCCCCGGCCATGCCTTCAAATAAGCCGGCAGCTCCCCCTTCTTGCCCTTTCCCTCTTTGCACTTGCCACCATCAGCATCGTCACCATCTCTACTGGTGCCAGCACCATCGCCTCCTCTGCCACTGCTACCGCCACTGACGCTGCCAGCACCAGTAGTGCCACTCTCCATGACTACATCACGTCTGGTGCTGCCGGTGCTACTGCTCTCCACAGCACCGCCGTGTTGCACCGTCTTTCTGCGGATCTTCGCCGCACCTGTGTTGACCATATCAGCAGTCCTCGCGTTCACGTCCGCCCTCTTCTGTTGCTCCTCACTGCCCATGCACACATCGCTCAGTCCTGAACCCGCCGATTCAACATCGGCATTTCTCAACGAGGCGCGCATGCTGGATGGTCACGCATTCATTACTGCGAAGCACCACGTATCCAATTCCTCCCACACCTCTCCATCATTCTCCTCCTCCTCCTCCTCCTCCTCCTCCTCCTCCTCCTCCTCCTCCTCCTCCTCCTCCTCCTCCCCTCCTTTTCCCATCCCTCGCCGAGCCTTCCCTCTCTTCCTCCCCGTCACAGCCATCTTGTTCACTCGAATCCCATCTCCCTAGAACACCTCTATGCCTTCAAACTGTTCCATATCCAGAATGGAAGTCGGCCACATGTGGGCCACGAGGAGCAGGAAGAAAACGCGCTCCTTCTCTAGCTCACCGCACAGAACCGCAAGGTTGGTACGTGAAGGCGAGCCTGAGGGAAACGGCGGCAACCCCATGTTCTCCAAAAGTGCATCAAACCCAGCAGAGTGTGGCGGGAAGACAGATAAGAAGCGGTTGAAGAGAACGTAGAGGGGGCAATAGGCGAACTTGGCAATGAGGGCGATGGATGGGATGCGGATGTAGAAACTGCGGTAGCAATGGATGCATTGAGCACATGCCGGTGGACTCATCAACCGGCCGACCCCCTCCACAAAAAAATCTGCATCTGCCACGCAGCACACGATGGGCAGCTTCCTTCTAAAAGGCGGCCTTGCAACAGCCATGCCGCATGCATGTGAACTGGCCCTTTGCTCTTCACCATGCCCTCTGTTTGCAACGCTGCCACTGCCGTCACTTGCTTGGCATGGTGCCTTGGCTCCTCGCACCTTCCCCCTCTTGTGCCTCCTCCCAGCCTTTGATGCTTCTTCTGTTACCCTCTTCTGCTCACTCTCCACCCCCGTTGCACTCTCCTCCACAAAACCCAGCAGGTAGAATCTTGCATCGGGATCATCAGGAAGCTTCGAAGCAGCTTCATCACCATGTGGCCATTCCTCCCACTCTATAGGAAGACTTTCAGCAGTTAGAGGCTTCGGGATGGCACCGAGCCTCAGCAGCAGGCTCGGGAGCACTCGAAAGGGATGGGGCATTTGCAAGATCCCTTTCGGTGGCCTACTTCTGGAGCATCGTTCCACAAATACGACATCTGAGCCATAGAATCGAACCCACCGTAAGATGCGGGCAACTCGATATGTGAAGGCTGCGAGGATGAGATTTGTGTTTACAGGCACTAGCCCAGGGTTGTACCTAGCGCAGGTGCCATCTACTCGTGCACAAGGCCGGTTGCCAGCTGAAGCAGAAGCACTGGAAGCAGATGCCTTACCAGTTGCTGATGCTTCTGCTGCCCAGCTCGCGGCTGCTGCTGCCCAGCTCGCGGCTGCTGCTGCCCTGCTCGCGTCTGCTGCTTCCCAACTCATATTTGCTCCTGCCCCACTCCTGCTTGCTGCTGCCCCATTCGTGTTTGCTGCTGTCCATTTTCCTCCTATTGCTCCTGAACCCCATATTATGCCCTTTCCACCTACCCCTCTTTTCAGCCTGCTTCTAGCCTCCTCAATTGCTGCCTCTTCCACCCTCACCTTATTCGTATTGTTTCCATCCAATGTGTACATACAGGCGTCTACACAGCGCTCTGCCTTAGACAACTCTTCGGCAAAAGCAAGAGCAATATCCGTGGCGCTGACCCCACTCACATACATGCCCTTGGGAATACCATTCACCTGCACGTCACCACTATTGCTGCTGCCCCCCTCACTGCAGTGGCTGCACCGGAACTCCGACCCTTCCCCACCACCATGCTCTAGAATCCAAGCCATGCCATCCACATACCTCTCCCACACACGCCCCTTCAAATGCTCCCTCCATTGCCCATTCTTCCCCCCTTTGCCACCCTTTTTCAGCAGCTCCATTAGCCGCCCTGCTACTACGTCTGTCTTCCCCTCTGCTCGCCTCGCTGCTACAATTTGGTTCTCTTCCGTCCCTCACATCACCAGCATCATCAACCCCCTGCTCCTCCTCCTTTTCCATGCCCCCGCCCCTATCCATCACCTCGCCATCCGCCCATCCCTCCTCCCCCTGCGCCTTCTCAGCAGTCTCCCCCCTTATTCCCCCTTCCTCCTCATGTGTCTTCTCAGCACCCATTCCCCCAGCTCCCTCACTCCCCTTTTCAGCTGCATGCGCCTTTTCCAGCCCGCCTGACAGCAGATTCTGCATGAGAGCACCAAACCCTTCCTGCAGATCAGCGCTCTCTTTCACCCCCAGCACCTGCACCAGCATGGAAGCTACGCAATCGTTCTCCACCTGCCTGCCAGCCCCCAGCTGGGCCATGATAGCAGGATAAACTAAGGAGCCTGGACACAGAGACAACCTCTTTAGATTCACAACTCGCGGCCACTTTGCGACAAGCGTAAGGAATGCGGCAAAGCTGACAGCACGGCGGTAGGCAGACCAGTGAGCCCCCCACGTTCCACTAGCAGCAGCAGCAGGGGCAGCAGCTGTTCTAGGAGCAGGTGCAGCTGTAGCTGCACTGCTGCTATTTGAACAAGTGGCACCTGTAGCCGCCAGAATGGCAGGCAGACGGGATCTGATCCTCCCCAGGTCCATGAGCACGCCCACACGAGGCTCAGCCATCCACTCGAGAATCATTGCCTCGGCACAGCGAATCGGTGCCACGGCACACTTGACGCCGAACAACTGCTGAGGAGGCAAACCTCCCGGAGTCTCAAAAGCCCTCATGGGTACCCCTGCAGAGTACTCAACAATGGCGCTGGGCGGCCGACCCTGGGGAGCAAAGGGATGGAGTCAGGCAGCTGGTTCTCAAGGTCGCAACGGAAAGTTGCCAGGCGGACAATGCCAAGTACGCGCTGTGCTCGGTAGCTCACTACGCGGTCGAAGCAGCACTCGCACACTTGCCGGTCCCACGCGCCTCTCACGTCCATGTAATAGCGACAGCACCTGAAGCTTCTCGGATCCTTTCTGCATCCCTGCTCTCCTGCCGCGACTGTTTCTTCGTCGTCGCTCTGCCATCTTTGGCTCACCCTCGCTTTCGTAATGAAGCCACTGTGCCGTCATCTTCAATCTGTGCATGCATTCCAAAATCTCCTCGTCGTAACTGCTGCTCGTGCTCTCCACCTGGGTGGCGGACGGCGGCGCACCCATAGCGGCGGATGCAACAGGAGGCACATCCGAAGGGTCCTTCCCACCCGCATCTTCATCGCCACCTGATCCTCCCCCCTGTACACTCCTCACAGATTGCATTTCATCGCGGAAAAGGGTTTGGCTCAAAATCGAGTTAAAGTCTGAAAGCTGCAGCAAAGTTGCAGAAACCTACCTGAAAAGTATCCGAAAAGCACTGAGTGAAACCGCAACATGCACCAATTTTGGATACAAGCTGGCTTCCTAGCCGCGAACATGAGCTACGTGGGTCAGCCGGGGCGCAAATTCTTGTATACGTGGGTTTACCGAGCCACGAATTTCACACATCAAACTTAAAACATCTTCACCGAACAGTACACCTTCGTCCGACCAAATCTCGGGAGTCCCCTTTGCTGGTGTATGATCGATGAACACTACAGCACGAATCAGGCGGACATTGTCGAACGTGGCGAGCACAGTAACTGGGATACAACCTCAGATGAGGCTCGCGAAGGCACAACCCAGAATCGGAACTGGCAGCTGGCATACAGTTCCATGTCACACCCAATCAATGTAAGTGTTCAGATTCTGTTCAGGTGACGTGGCTTCCCGGATCACACCTTAGGTAACCGGAATTGAGCTATCCGAACCTACCTGATTTTTTACTAACCAATTACTGGTGCGATGTATGCTAGTGCCAGAAATCTACAGCATCCGTGAAGACACATCATCACACTTCGGAGCTCTAGAAGCGTCTCTCTTTCGTATTCACACAACACGCTAGTTGCGTAGCTCATTGGTCATACAAATTTCTCAGCTTTTTCTTCCAGTCCAGCCTGCATATCGTGCCTCTGAATATCCCCTCACGCATCAACTAGCGTATACCGTATGCTTTTCCTTCTGTGTGTGTAATAATCTACTATAGGAAGTATGTATTCAAGCTATTATCTGTCCAGATCTACCGTCTCACCCTGCATCTGTCCCCTTCTTTTCTACCTCCCGTCCCATATACAGCTCATCGACTTGCGCTCCCCACGCAGAGGACGTTCTGCGCGCGAATCGCCGCGGACTCAGCACCCATCTACCTACGAACGGTGCGCCGTAAAGCGCGTTGCCCGGCAGCGGAAGCGCCGTGTTATGCGCTGAAAGCTTGATTTTTTTTACAAACGATTCTCCTCACTCTTGTTGTGATCCTCACTTGTCATTTATTCGCACTTGTTAGGCTTCTTCAGTTATCGTTTTCCTCTCGTTCTTCCCGCAATGAATGCAGATACATTTTCTCTTGTATTGAACTGCGCTGCACCGTGCCACTTTAATCAGTTACATTGATGTTCCCGCTTCATATCCACCCAATACACAGATCGTCAGCACGGTCTCTGCATGCGGGAAGGCCTTCGGTCTCGCTTTGCCTCCACTTGCAAATCTCTTAAATCGTCGTGGCTTCTTCCCCATGCTCGTATCGAGTTATATATCATCCAGCCTCTAACGCTAACGTTTAGCTGTCTTCTCCTGTGTGGTACCAAGACCATTGCAGAGGCAGTGGCTGCCACGAGATATATATACATTTTTTTTTTTCGCATGGATTTCGCAGAGTTGTCAATCTTGTTCATGGCAATGTTCTCTGTTCAATTCAAGGCCCGCGGGCGGTAGGTCAGTGAGGTAGGGAACAATTACTGTCTACTAACCCATGTCTAACACTAAGCCGTATCTCTGTTTGCAGGCCCGCAAACGAAGCGTGATTTCGCCCTATATTCATCTGCCATTGAGACCTGAAGATCTGTAGTCGTTGCATTAGCCGTGTTGGTTTTTCGCCTAGATCGTGCTCTGTGTGTGCTGATAATTATTCATGCAAATGTGCAAGAGAATACATATAGTGTATAAACTGAATACTTTTAAACACAACTGTGACTAAAACGCATGCTCCGATTTCAGACAATTCGGCGGCATGTTAAAATCAATTTTCCCACGTTCGCACATCTTGTTTGAATGGTCCAAGTGTCACGCCTGAGTCCACATATCGCGAATGACGCGTGGCACAAATATCGTGGCTGACGTGGCAAAATATCTTCGCGAACGTACCGGCGTACGTTCATTTCGAAGTCGAAACTGTACGCATGCCACGTGGCAGATGGTGAAACTGCATACATGTGACTGAAATGTATACACAACGTGTCCAAAGATTGTCCGATAAGTTGCGGTTGTGTTGCGGGAGAGTTGCAGGAATGCAACATTTTCGCAACTTTCCGCAACCACGATTTCTACAACATTTGACCATCACTGGAAAGTTGCAAAACCAAGGTATCCAAAAAGTATCCTTTTTGCAACTTTCCCGCAGCTTTCTAGCAAGTCCTTTTTTGCGATGTTCGACTGTCGTTGTACTTTTTTCCGGCTTTGCTTGCTGCTGCCGGATAGGACACCACCTGGCCAAAAACTCAAAAGTGGAGCCTTCTCATTTGCCAAAGACAGACTTCTATCGCACCGATTTTTCCCTGCTGCTGAGTCTATGGAAAGCAGGACAATGACGGATCGGGCTGAGTTTCACTATCGATGACTGAGCTACTAGAAATGTCAGCAACAAGAACCTCGTGAAACAGGCTGCTAGCGGGTTTCTCCGTATCTTGTTCGATCGTATTCGTGACAAACCTGTTTAAGAAACAAGGTGTCGTTGTAAGTGTTTGCTAACGTCTGGCTTGGTTCAGCAGCTCTCGCGAATCAATAGCATTGAAAGAGCCTGGTAAGGCAAAGCTGTGAGTTTACATGACAACGTCGCTTTGCCAGCTTTGAAGCTACGGCTAAGTGCATAACAGGGAATTTGGGAATTCTGTGGGAAGACATCGCCCGAATCCCTCCGCGGAAACCCGTTCGCCCCTGCGGGTTTTCCTCGGAGGGATTTTTGTTTTCCCGCAGTCGCCTAGCGGGGCACGCGAGGGGCGGGAGCCAACTCCCCCCTCCCGCCCAGAAACAGGCCCCCCCAGCTGGCGCCAGCTGCGCGTGACGCCATCAACTCGCGCCCTCGAGCTGGCAGTGGTCCCCACCCAACCGAGCCCAACTGCTCGCTCGGTTCGTGGACGAATTCCGTCCGGTAACCAACCCATCCCTCGTCGAGCGACGCATCGCCGACGGAACCAGTCCGCGAAATTTCGCCGGCCAGACGGAAGCGACGCCCATCTGCGTCGCGCTCCACCTCTCTCGCCCTTGATGGGCCCATTTCGTTCAAGCCGCTCGATCTTGGTGACGTGTCGAAGGCCCCCTGCCGAACCTTGAAAGGGGCCTTTCAGCTGCATGCAAGGGGTGTCAAACATTATATATGTTATGCTTGTGTAGGCTACAGTGGGTTAGCCTATAGGGGGTACACAATTCTAGGGTTTCCTACTTGTACTCATTTCACTGCTAGTTCATTCATTCCCTGTTCTCTTATTCTCACATGGTATAGAGCGGGTCCTTCTACGGACCGTTTTTTTTTGGGCCCACCGAAGCGCCCCCCGAGGCGCGATCTTTTTTTTAGCGACCCCTCGGGTCGCCATTTCCCCTGCGGCCCCGCCGCCTTCACTGACGCGGCCCCGCCGCCCTCTCTGTCGCGGCCCCGCCGCCTGCTCTCACGCGGCCCCGCCCCGGCTTCTACGCGGCCCCGCCCCGGCTTTCACGCGGCCCCGCCGACGGCTTTGTCGCGGCCCCGCCCAGGCCCTTACGCGGCTACGCCGCCTGCTCTCACGCGGCCCCGCCCCGGCTCCTTCGCGGCCCCGCCACCTGCTCTCGCGCGGCCCCGCCCCGGCTTCTACGCGGCCCCGCCCCGGCTTTCACGCGGCCCCGCCGACGGCTTTGTCGCGGCCCCGCCCAGGCCCTTACGCGGCTCCGCCGCCTGCTCTCACGCGGCCCCGCCCCGGCTCCTTCGCGGCCCCGCCACCTGCTCTCGCGCGGCCCCGCCCCGGCTTCTACGCGGCCCCGCCCCGGCTTTCACGCGGCCCCGCCGACGGCTCTGTCGCGGCCCCGCCCAGGCCCTTACGCGGCCCCGCCGCCTGCCCCCGTCGCGGCCCGGTCACCTCCTGACGGCCCCGCCGTCCCTTCGTGACGGCCCCGCCGTCCCTTCTTGACGGCCCCGCCGTCCCCTCCTGACGGCTCCTGCCGTCCCCTTCTACCGGCCCCGCAACTCCACCTGCTGGCCCCGCCGCTGCATCTACCGGCCCCCCACCACCCACCCCCCCTTTTCCCGTCGCCTGTCGAGGTGACCTGAGGGGGCCAGCAGAGGGGTGGCAGGTGTGTGGCCTCCCCTGCTTCTCCTCCTCCTTCATCTCCCACTGCAGCAGCCGAGCCGCTCACCTGCAGCAGCCGAGCCGCCCCACAGCCGAGCCGCCCTGCCGCCGAGCCGCCGGGTCGCTGAGCTGCTGAGCTGCAGTTGCTGCCGAGCCGCCCTGCCGCCGAGCCGCCGAGTCACCGAGCTGCTGAGCTGCAGTTGCTGCTGAGCCGCCTTGCCGCCGAGCCGCCCGAGTCGCCCGAGCTGCCGAGCCGCTGGGTCGCCGAGCCTACTCTTCCCACCACTGGTGAGCTCTTGCCCTGCTCGCACACTGCGCGTCGCCTGCTTGCCTGCCTGCCTGCCTTTTGGC